CTACAGTCTAAACTTCTGCCATTTTGAATTTTTAAGCTTTACTTTCAAATACTCATAAATTTGAGGAAGTATAGTAAGGAACAGTTTCTAGCCTTTGTATTTGAGTTTCTGTTATTTATCTTATCTCTTAATCCTTGATTGTTCTATATTTGTATCCTCATAATATATTAGATTAACTAACCACTAATTCTTATGTTGGAAGGTCTATACATATATAGACCTGTATATCTTTTACCTACCACTGTATAGTAGTCAGAAAAAATCTAAAATTCAAATCATTGTATAACTTTTTCTTGACAATTGTTTTAGGCACATAGAGAGCTAGCACGTGAAGCTGTACGCAAGTCCTTAGTTTTACTAAAGAATGGGAAGGATAGTGAGAAACCATTTCTTCCTTTAGACAGGAATGCCAAGAAGATCCTTGTTGCAGGAACCCACGCTGATGATCTTGGTTACCAGTGTGGAGGCTGGACATCAACTTGGTTGGGAACCAGCGGCAGAATCACAATTGGTAAGCTATTCATAGGTGCATACTTCATTTATATATATATATATAGTCGGTGGCAGTATGATGATTGATGGGTGAAATGTTGCCACAGAGATTGAATAATATTAGTTAGTTAACCCCCCTCCCAACAAATCCTCCATAGATATGAGAATGTATGGTATTTAGCTATAGCCTCTTTTTTTTTTGGTTGTTGCTGTGATTAAGTACTTAAGTATATGTAAAGCATCTGCTTTTTGTGCCTTATCAATGTTTGATCAGAATTGGAGGTTATTCTGCACTCAAGCAGGGTGGTATTTTGCAATGAACTGGCTTCATTCAAGCATATTTATCAGATGATTTGTGTTCTGTAGGCACAACCATTTTGGATGCACTAAAAGAAGTGATGGGAGACAAAACAGAAATAATCTTTGAGCCAACTCCTTCAGAAGAAACCTTTAGTGGTCAAGACTTCTCATATGCCATTGTGGCTGTTGGAGAGACTCCATATGCAGAAACTGCCGGTGATGACCCAGAACTCAAAATCCCATTGAATGGATCTGACATTGTTCGGTTAGTTGCTGACAGAGTTCCCACGGTAATGATTCTGATCTCTGGAAGGCCAATGGTTATAGAACCAACACTCTTGGATAAGATAGAGTCTCTAGTTGCTGCTTGGTTGCCGGGAACTGAGGGAAGAGGTATCACTGATCTTCTCTTTGGTGACTATCCATTCCATGGAAAACTACCAGTGACATGGTTTAAAAGTATAGATCAACTGCCAATGCATGCTCAGGAGAACCCATCAGACCCATTATTTCCTTTTGGTTTCGGGCTTACAACAACCAAATAATTAAAATATTAACATGGATTATCTAAATAATCTATGTACTTGAATGACCAATGCAGACACCAATAGTCTCATTCTTCCATGGTTGCAAGTTTCAACTGCATTCCTTGTTATCTGATGCAGAAACATTCTTCATTTATTCTCCCTATTCATAATGTTTGAAAATAATGAGGATCGATTGGATTGTTGTATTCTTGGTATGAAGCTTGGACACCAGAACTGTACTCTGTCAAGACTGGGAGGGTCTCCCTTTAATTTATTGTTTTTCTGATATTAGTTGTTTGAACTTTGAATAAAGCCATTGTTCCATATACTGTTGTATTTAAAGTGCATGTTGTGGAAACTGCATTGGTCAGTGATGACCTGAGCTTAAGAGGATGCATGCAGGCTGAAGCTTTGAAAGTGCTATATATGTATCCAATCAATTGAGAATCAGGATTGAGGAGAGAGAGAGAAATATGCTCAAGGATTGAGAGTATCCATCAAAGTGTAAAGCCAGGTGAGACCAAGATATTTTTCTATTATTAGAAAGATTGTGTTCTTCGAAAGATATATATGTTTGACTCTTAAAGTATTGTTCCATTAGATTTGGTGCATCTTCTGCTTTCGGTCCCTGTGAATCTGTTACTGTGTCAAGTAAAAGAAGCCCCCACGAAGATCATCCAAAGATCTGAGTGGACCTCAGCTCGACAGTCCATGCGAGGACACGTACATTTGGTTAACTCTTCTAAGATGCCCTGCCATTATCTTTACCTTAGCTTCCTTGTGTTTGGAACTTGGAATTCAACCAAGAAAGGACAACCATTCAAACACACATGTATCACAATCACACTCGTATATTATTACTACCTTTATGCTTTTGTATAACGTCACGTGTTTTAATTCTTTAATTTGATTTACAGGAAAATTCGCATTTTGAGTGAAACTTGATCGTCTTGTGACTCTAGCTGCCAAATGTCATAAAGAAAGGATAAATATTATCTACGGAAAGTTAAACTTGGAACCTTGTGATTATACAACTTGGTTTGAATTGCCTTATTTAATTTAATTCTCATGAAATACAAGATGACATTTTATATTACATAATTGCATGCAGCATCATGTTAGAAAGGAAAAGAATAAAGGAAAATGCAACAAGTTCTTTTCTTGATTCATTGGAATCAGAATAATGGGCAAGAAGTTCTTAATTTAATTTGTTTGTAATATGAGTTGTTAGATGGAGATAAACATTCGAACAAATTGACCAACTTGTATAATATAATGTTATCAAAGTGGCTACTTTTTTCATTTACAATTATAAAAGGATTCTATTTAAATTTTGCCCAATGTCCCAGTGATTAATTTATTTGGTCACACTACCATCGCATCAAGAAAAAAGTTGTACTCATCAATCATATTCAGTCACACCATCGCATCAAGAAAAAAGTTGTACTCATCAATCATATGTATCCAAATATTTGAGTGTCATGAAAACAATTTATTTTGGCAGACTCAATTTGTGGGGGCCAATTTCGAACCGTGCATGATACTCTTGGCCTTGGCACACCGTGCTGCTGTTGTTAGTTCAAGAAAACAAAGCTTAACCACCAGGTAGCGGTGGTAGGGAAGATCAGATATCACAGTCGCACTGCGATTGATGGACAAATTTAAAAAGTTTGATATGAGTGCTGCCTAATGGAAATTAGGGTTTATGTTGTTTTGTCTCCATGCACAGGGCCACATTATAGCTATGGCTCCATATCTCTCAACTAGATCTGTTTGACAACTTAATAAAAGCACATTCAAGTGACATGTTTGGATTATTAGGAGTTCAATTTAATTCTTGATCGCAGTGTTACCTTAAACTTGTGTAATGTAAGCATATTGTTGATTGTTTTTTTTGTTGGGTATACTCAGGATTTCCACAGAGTGACTAACCCCCTCGTCGAATTGTAGGCACTTCTTTTGGGTGGGACAACTGACCCGTAAATTTAAGACTGCTTCATATCCAAAGTCAAAAATCAAACCATTGACTTTTGGTTAAGAATGAATGAGTCTCTTCACTCATACACATTTTCCAGGTTCATATTGTTGATTGTTGAAGTAACACATGTCTGGTCTAATGGGTACGGTCAATTTACCCCACCAGCCTAGCCTACATAAGAATTATTCTCTATACATACGTAATTATTACATAAATCATTTTTTGCTCATCCATTGTTGTTTATTATTTCGATTTTCATCAACACTATAAACATGTATTTAAATATTATACCCGCATGGGCAGCTCAATTGGTCACTGAGGTGAAACTTTGAAAATATGACCAAGGATCGAGTCTCACCAGCCACAGTGTGGGAGCAACCTCTCAAAGTGAGGGGGTACGTTCCTTGTGCACAGGTCTAGCCTCTGGTTCATGTTCAGTCACGACAAGACTAAATTATGACACCTTATTAAATTTATCCAGTCTAAACCTACTTTAATTTGTTCCATCAATAATATCTAAGTTGAGATAAATTTTACTTGATAGCTTACATCTTACTCTCAAGCTAATATAAACTGAGAAAACTTTACTCATTTTATATTCATCATTTATAAAGTAAGTTGACGACACAGTATCCTTAAAATCACAGCGCAATCATGTTTTGTTGGACTGCTATAGAAAACAGTTAATCTACCACTTTAATATGCAACTGTCACTCCCAACACTGGCCAATGAGATGTTGGGGAAAGCATTTGAGTCAATGGGTCTGAAAGCCACAAGTCATAACAATTATTAGCCAAAAGAATTTAAGAAAAAAGAAAAACCCATGTTTTAATTTAGAAAATCTGGCTTGAATCTTTAGGTCAGCTTTGTTTAGTAATATAATCAACACTTTTACACGAGTAGGATCTTATAAAATAAAAAAAAAAAAGAATATAATCATGTAATTGAGAAAGGTTTCAGAATAATTTTGTTTGCCACCGCCTAATAGTGTTTGGATTTTGGATGGGTAGGGGGGAGGGGGGTTGAAGAATAAGATGCTTTGAGTAGTGGAAGTAGGACTCAGCGTTGAAAATTAGGAATTGAAGTACGGTCAACCAATCATGGTTTTTGAATGAATGATGAACTTGTTATTGGGTAGTAGTTTTGGACAGAGTAATAAAATTAGAAAAAAAAAAAAGTATGAATCATAGTTTTTATTCATTTTTTTTTCTTTCTATTAATAAAATTATAACACGTGATAAAAAAAAAAAAAAATTCATCAACTGTCGCTACAAGAACATGGGCTACACGGTTCACTGACGCCTAGAGTTTTATTCTCTAGAGTCTATGTATCATTTTTCCATTGGGCAGTGGAAATTGCAAGAAATTAAAAATAGTGGCTTGTGACACATGCCAACTTGTGTTTGCATGTCTTCTTTCTTCACTTTTACTGGTCCAAATTTAACCACATCACCAAATTGCTTGTGGCCTAAAACTCATATTGTCCATAGTGAATACCACAAAGTAAAAAACTATACACATTCATGACTTACCATCAATAGAATGCATATGGTAACAAAAAGGCAAGCTTGCGAATAACGGCGTTTCCTGAAGCTATAGGCAGTGATTTTGCGATTTACCTCCTCCCGAGAATTGCAAGGATAGTGATGGGTAAGGGTTCTGTTACTTGTTGGGCACTGAATTGATCTATTTAGGATGAGTATGAAATCAGGAGTATCAATCAATCCATTGATTCATGTTGAAGTACAAAAGAGTACCCAGAATGGGATCTTTTTGGTTTATATCAATAATATTGGGATTTCATAATTCCTAGAAACACTTACTCAAGACTAAAATGGAAAGGGGAAAACAACATATTTACAGGGCAGAAGAGGAAACCAACATAATTAAGGTTGTAATAAAAATTGAAACCAACAAGCTTTTTCTAGGACAACATGACATGAATATAATGAACTCAAGCAGGATGAAACTGCTGTGCTGATTGTATCTGCAAACCCATGTTTTGTTGTCCAAAGTAAATTTCATGATTCTGCACTTTGTTCATCCCATAAGACCCTAATCCATACGGCGACGGGGCGAAAAAAATGTTGTCCGGAGCTGTGCTGAAACTACCCATCACTGCCGCCCCATTGCTCACCTGCTGGCTCCACTGGAAGGGCATTTTGTGGTGGGAATGCACGGCGGCGGCCGGTGGGTCTGGCGGCGACGGTGGCTTATTGTTATTGTTGTTGTTTTCCGGTGAAAGGGTTTGATTGTTGTCGTTAAGGTTGACAGTTGTAATGTCATGAATGCTGGCTCTCCTCTTGTCTTTTCCACCTGAAAGCTGTCTGATGAAATATTTCTGGGCATGACTGGCAACTTGGGTGGGTGTTCTTGTAATCACAAAATTCCTTGAAATGTTTCTCCAATCCCCTTTTCCATACTTCTTTAGCCCCATTAAGAATAACCTACCAAAAACCAATCAAAATTTCATATCAAAATTCAATCTTTCAACTCGAAATCTAAAGATTAATCCAGCCAAGTTGATCAGACTATTGAGTTGGTAACTACATTATTACAATTTCAACTTTTAATGAGAGGCCGGTGAAGTGTAAGTCTAGCAATTACTGGCTAGGGAATTGTTGAGTCAAGGTTTGATGGTCAAATCCAGCACTCTTTCTCTGGAAAATGCGGATATATAAGAAAATAAAATTGTAATGATAAGCGTCTGAAATGGAGCCATTTATTTCTAACTGGCACCTTTTAAGCTCGTATCATACTCAAACTAATTCAGATTCGCACTGGGTCGACCTGATGTTGATTTTTTCATACGAGAGATTCAAACTCGTGATCTCTCTTAAGGGATGAAAGTGCACAGCCACTCACACTAACCAAGCTGATTAACCGGGGTCATTTTTTAACTTTAAGGAGGGCAAGAAAAACAAGAACAAAACAAAACAAAAAAAGATTAGAAGATTGATACCAATATACAGACCTGTGTTCTTCCTCAGTCCAGGGAACGCCCTTCTTCCGTTCTTGCTCCGGCGTCCGGTTAGACGACGGTCTCTTCCCTCCGGCGGCGGCGGCGAAGGGCTGCCGCTGCGCGTCAAACCCACGGCTATTTCCCCAATCTAGAGTGAAAGGCGAAGGAGAAGGAGAAGAAGAGCTAGTATAAACCGGAACAGGCATGTCCATTAACCCAGCTTCTATGCTACTAACATCATCTTCCAATTCCTTGTACTGCCGAATCACGTCCACCACCGTCTTCCCCGGCACCATTTCCGCCACCTTCTCCCACCGGTCCGGCGTGTCCTTGTCGTACAAAGCCAGGGCATTCTCGAACGCTTTGTTCTCGGCGGGGGTCCATTTTGTGCTCTTGCTTTCTTCAACAATCCAGCTTGAGTTCGATAGATAAGAGGAAGACGGTGAGAGAATCTCCATCCCCCACTCCACCAAAACCAAAAAAAAAAGACTGAAAATTTATTCTCCAAAAACTATAAGAATTCAAGAATTTCTCATGGATAAGAGCAGAGGAAAAGGAGCAGAGAAAGGTGTAAGCTTTACAATGGCATTATCAGTGTTAAATCAAGAAGCATTTTTTGTTTGAGGGAATCAGAATACCTTTTTCCACTATATACCCATAACCCACCTCCCCAGCCTGAGGAATCTACCTAAAAAAACACCCACCTTTTCAAAATCCTAGAAAACCCAAAAACATCAATAATAATCATAAACTAAACAATGCAAAAAGCGTGCAATAACAATAAGAATTCACAACAGACAAACCCAAGATCTGAAACAAGAAAGAAAACTCAAAACAGAAAAAAAAGAGAGTACAGTTCCCAGAATCATTAACAGTCACAAGACTGGGTTTTTGAGCTGCAGAGCTCGCAGGGTAGGCTATGGAGGAGGTGAAAAGAATACAGAGAAGCTTGGGATTGGGGTTTTGTGAAAAAATGGGAAAAGCTATGGGTTTGGTCTACTTTGGAGCTTTATTTGGGGGTGATGTATGAGCGAGCAAGAAAGAAAGAAAGCAAGAGAAAAAAGATGGTGAGTGGAAAGTGATTAAAAAGGGAAAGCAAAGAGCTTCAAGGAAGTAAGGAATGAATGAATTGAATAAAAATCTTTGAAAGGAAGAGAGGGTCGCCTTGAACAAAGTGCCAAAAACAACAAAGGAAGAGAAAAATTGAAGTGGTGAATGGTGATTCGATGGTTTTTGGTATTTTTGGATTCTGCAGCTTATGAAAAACCCTACTTCCTATTATAACACAATTTTTTTAAATAAATAAATACTCCGTAAATAAGACTGCTTTATAAAAACAACATATATTATTAGCTTAGTTGGTTATGAATTTATGATAAAAGGTATATTAATAAGACTGCTTTATTCTTTATTTTCTCACAAAAAGTAAAATTTATTCAGACCCACATCCTGATTTGACAAGATAATTAATGATTAAATCAGGGTGATTTCATCAAGTGGCTTGTAGTCTACTGGTATCAGGTTTCTCTCTTAAGTGGGAGTTGATAGGTTTAATCCCTTTCTTATAAAAAAAATAAAAAACTTAGGGTGATTCATCAGCACATTAGATGGAGGTGTACGGCCCATAATGAGTTAAATCTTTTACACCCAAAAAAAAAAAAAAAAACTAATTAAAACTTATGTACCTTCAGTTAACATATTTTGTACCTACAGTTAACCGCTTCTGTACATGTAAACAAATAACTTGATAATTGCTGACACATAGTTAACCGTTTCTGTACATGTAAACAAATAACTTGATAATTGCTTACACATAATATGATAGGTACATATACATAATGTGTCAACTATAGATACAGAATCTAACTTGATAATTGGTGACACATAATATGATAGCTACAGGTACAAAAACTATCAAGTATCAACTGCAGATACATAATGTGTCAACTATAGATACATAATCTTAAGATTATTTTTGGATCAGGATCTACAATGCAAGGTAGACCCTGGTCTATAATATAATTTGTCCCATGTCAACCGATGACGTGACGGTTAACCTTTAAAAATTATTTTTTATTAATTTTAAATATTAAAAAATAAAAACAACCCCACATCCCCTTCGTCTCCAGCCTAGAGATGAAGGGGAAGGAGTTGATTTTTTTTAAATAAATATTTTAAATTGATTTTAAAATATAAAACTAATTTTGTAAAGGTTAATCGTCAAGTAAATTTGGAGAACAAGTCAATTTTGACCTAATTGCACGAAATTTGATTTGTTAAAGGTGTCTATTGTAGTTTTTTTTCTAATACATTAGGTCTAGAACTCCTACCCAAAGGCGTTGGAGGAGGACATGAGGTAATTACGAGTTGCTCAATCAGTCCCCTAGAACCCCTACCCAAAGGTGTTGGCGGACAGGAGGTAATTACGATGGATAGTGCAATTGTCATGTCTAATTCAGTGACTAATTTTAACCTTAATTTCAATCAGATTATGAGGTATCCTGAGCAGTCTTCCCTAACTGTAGGAAGCACCTTTAAGCCCGTACTATACTCAGATGGGACATGAGGTAATTACTGTCTAATTCAGTGACTAATTTTAACCTTAATTTTTTTTTTTTGGAGTCAGGCCATGAAGTGTCCTGAGTAAGTCATGAGGTAATTACTGTCTAATTCAGTGACTAATTTATTCAGTGACTAATTTTAACCTTAATTTCAATATAATTCATATTATACATTTTTTTGGAGTCAGGCCATGAAGTGTCCTGCCCAATTAAGAAGAAAAGTGCTGGCCAAATTTTTTTTCCATACGAGGGGAGGTTCGAACTCCCAACCTCTCTAAAAGGATGAGAGTGCACGACTACTTACGTCAACCAAGATGGTTACTTTATATTATACATTTGTTCATTCATCATAACAATTCCCTTGAGTTAATTTCAATCATCTTATATGACTTGGTAAACGTAGCATACATACATGATACATCACTGAGATATTTTTTTTTTTTTTTTTTGAATGCTACTAGCTCTCCATTGAGGCTCGAAATCACAATCTTCCAAATGGAAGTCCAACCCGGATACCATTAGACCACATACATCACTGAGATATAATTATTCCGTTATTCAATAAATCAAAATTGTCATATATAATCTGTAACCGAAACTAGATATGAGTTATTAATTTTGTAATCGAGCTAAGTATTGTAAAATTTTGTTTCTAGCTAGTTCCGTTGAATCTTTAAATTATAACTATTAGTTTATAAATAGAATTGCTAATTCCTATCGGAACAAAATCCAATTCGAAACTATTGGATACATGAGGTAGTAATCACATTTTATATATCCTAGCTAGCCAAGTGACATTGTTGTTCACCAATCAAAGGGGATTCTATCTATTTATGTCACAATTATCAACTTTATGATAGCCATATTTGTGTAATTTTCAATTTTTGCAAATATTATATATTGCATTGTCCATATTCATATCTAAAAGTTGATTTTCCAGAAGATTAACCCATAGATAATAAGGTCTTATGTTCTTCTAGGGCTTTAAGCTACCATTCATTATGTTCTAAGCACCTTATTTCAAATCATTTAAGTATTCTTAGCTTGCATTGTGTCTAATCTTAGATGCCTAGTCTAATATATTCTGTTAGTTATGTCATTAGCAGTTAGTTAATATTTGTGTTGAAGGTTTGGTACATCACATTATATATAATTATAATGAAAACTAGGGAATTTTTTTGATATGACGGGATAAAGTTTCATATCGCGACATCTGATCTTATTGTTATTCAATGAATATTTAGTTATTAGTGTTAAAAGTGAATTGTATTGCTAACGTTGTAAAGCATAAATGCATACTTTTTTTTTGTGTGTGTGTTACAATCGAATAAAATGGAAATTCAATTCAAACTTTTTACTTAAAACTATAGACCTATTCAATTCAACTACAAACTTTTTGTAATAAATACATTTAATCGACAAGCCGTCACTAAGTAGCTTCTATATTACAGGTTTGAAAAGAAAAAGAATTATATAATTTCAACTGAACATTTATTCGTTCTGGTCATTAGATGCATTTCAATATTTTTTTTCAAATTTATTTATTAACACAATCCAATCGTTTATTAAAACTAATTAAAAAAATGTTGATATATTATCAAAGCCATCATAAATTGATATGACATTTTAAGATTTTTAATTTTACAGTAAGTTTTCATTAACATGACATTATGATTTATTACAAATCAAATAATACTCACTTTAAACGAAATTAAAGAATGAGTCTAGTGTAAAATTGGCTCATGTAAATGTATAATATCTTTTAATTAAAATATATTACTCCACAAGTCCACATTGGTGAGAGTACACCGTGGATACGGTGCTCCGAGAACGTAGGACCCAATCATCTCTGTCATGCAACTTATTAGTGACACGTGTGAGAGATTTCCTGCTCCCGAGCACACCCAATCAGTATCCCACAACACACGTGACGGGGGGATACCCACGCTGTCACCGCATAGTAATTTCCCGTGCAAGACGGCGGGACCCACATTTTATATTCTCGTCAACGGTTGAAAATCATTGTGGGTGTCTGGACTCTGGAAGGTCATCAAATCCGACGGCTGTCATAAATTTGGAATTAAAAGCTTTAGCACGAACTACAACACAAAGCGGTCCCCTTCTGTTGTGACCAACTCTCCACTGCCATTGTCCCCTTCCAATCTTCCATGCCATTAAAAATTAAAAAATTAAAATAACTAAACATTATTCTTAAAAATCTCACTTTATCCTCATAAGTACTACATTTTCAAGGGTCAAAACAGCTAAATACAACATATATTTTTATATAATATGAGATTTTTCAAACATATATTATAAACTGAATAACCAATGATATTATGGTCTAATGACACGGAGTGACTCTCACAAATAGGAGATCATGGATTTAAGTTTCAGTGGGGCCGATATTGATTATTTATACTTCAGTAGATTGAAAAAGTAATGAACAGATATTACATTGTAACAGAGTCAGTAGTACAAAAAAAAAATAATTATGAACTGAATACATCCTGAAAGTGTTATGTCATTCCCATTTCCCATTATCACAATAGGTATTTGATACATGTGTTCACTGCCCCTTTTACAACCAACAGAAGAGGTGGATTCACATGGGTAGGTTGAGCAAAGGGAAATGGTCCTTTTTTAGGCTTGGTGGAATTTAAATTTCAACTCATTATTATGACTGATTGAATAATATCATGAAATAAATCATTATGTAATTTGCATGTGTTGTTGACTTGTTGTATTCACTATCCCAGCGTATTATTTCTTCCCATAAAGATTGAATCACTAACTCCAAGGGCCTCTCACATCCCAACCCGACAAAGCAATTAAACGATTTTGTTGACGGATGATAAAAAATGGTAATGTCACTATAATGTTTTATTTAAATTTACAATTGAATACCCATAAATTATAAAGTTTTTGGCCATATTTGGTAAAATAATTAGCCTATTAGTCAATTTTAACTTGTTTGATCACTATTAGTTATTTGACTTGGTTAAACAATCAATAAAAGTGATTAGTTAATTAATTTTTTGTAACTTGTTGCTCTAACAGGCTAAAATTCAAAAAACTGCTCAAAGCAGTTTTTTTTATTAACTTTTTGATAAAGTCATTTTATATATAATCAATTATCAGCTAACAACTAATTCACCAAACATCTTTCTACAATCAGTCAATACTATCAACTAATCAAATCCACTAAGCTATTTACCAAACACTCATTAACTAATTAGCTAGATGGTTAATTTGGATTATTTCAAGAATGAGGTCGTTCTGGTAATTTGCTTGTTTTGTTATAAGATAATATTTGGAATTGAATATTGTATTTAAGTATAGGAAAACAATCAAAAGTGAAATCCTCAATGCCATCTCTGTCAATCAATGTTGTACCAACTACCTCTTCACTCCTTTTCTAGCTATATGATGTTCATTTTTATTTGATTGGGTAAGGAGTTGCCTACTTCTAAAATTTTCCTAAAATATATTACTTTATTTTACATATCATACCTTCCCTTTTTAACTCATATACATGACAAAAATAAAACTATTTAATAACAATAATATATTGTTCATCAACATGGAAAATAAATATTATAAATAAAATGCTAACTAGTGTCATAAGAACGGTTAAAGACCTTATTTTAAACCAAAAAAAAAAAAAAAAAATGGAT